TTATAGCGCACGTTTTTTCCGAGTGGTACGTTACGCACTACCAGGATAGGCTTACTGTCACTGTCAACTGTTTTTGGACACACAGCGATGGGCGCTGTCGATGGATCACAAGGGCCTAGAGCAGTTTGAGTATGTGACGCCTTGGATTACGCGTGAGAACTGTCCGTGACTCATGGGGGTTCACTTGGTGACCGGTACTCATCAAATATCTCCTAATTACTGAGGCAACTTTGCTTCTCCCATACTAGACATAATGCTCACACGACGACCAGTTGACCTGACAAAAAGATCAGGTTACCGGAAAGCGATTTGGACAAGTCAATACTTACATTGTAAGAGTTTCTTGCCAATCCATCGCAAGCGCTCCTTAGTTGAAACGTTATTCCATCGGGCTCATATGATCTGCACCGCAGACACACTGGAGACAGAAAGAACTGCTGTTTTGTCGTATTGCAGTCTAATGGTTACCCATTGCAATTCATAGTGTTACAGTGAATAAATGAAACGAGATCTAGGGATAACGGTTCGAAAGAAACATGTGTTCATTGAGTTGCCTTTCAAAGGTGACCACATCAGGCAAATCACTCCCAAAAGAATAAGCGTCTCAACGCAAAAGACATACAACGTAGCATAACTACGCTTGTTAATGACCACAAGACCAATACTTAAGTTTCAGTGAAGAGGCCCGTGTCGAAACAGTGCACGTCCCATTGCTTATACAAATTCACGTGTGGCTGTGGTGACCGCTATTTTGTACGCATTAGTCGAAGTCTGCGTGCTCAGATCAATGAAGATTCCAAAGTGGCTCCGCATACAGATGGAAAATGCGACGATCGCACGCGGTGAATACAGAAGCAACGTTGCCGTCGCAATTACGAGGCATTTGATAAACACCGGTCACCAAGCGAACCCCCAGGAGTCATGCGCAGCCCTCATGCGCAATCAAATGCGTCACATACTCAAGCTGCTCGAGGCCATTGTGATCCATCGACAGCGCCCACCGCTGTATGTGCAAAAACAGTTGACAGTGACAATAAGCCTATAGTGGTAGTGTGCAACGCACCACAGGGAAAACACGTGATCTATATGGTTGCAGAAGGTTTGAATACAAATCGGTTTTGCTAGGGTTTTATTGTGGCAACGTTTCGCCCTTGACACAAGAGCTTCTTCAGGCCAGGTGAATCGTTACAAAATTGGCTTAGCTTTTTATGGGAACGTAAGTTGAAGGTTGCAAGTCATAACATGAACAATTGGATAATAATGTTACAGGTCAATAGGTCAAGTGGCCACGCTAATGAAACAACAAGCATCGAGCGTTTCTCATTGATCCACGTCATCGGTCGTTCACATGTGAGGCATTCCTTTTCTTGCAGCTGCTGATTCACGCTCCGACCTGAGTTCGTCCGCCGACACCTTTTCTGACTGACCGGGTTAACACAGTCCGCCACGCGTTCGATAACTCCACCCCGTCTGTTCTGTTCACACAGTTATTAGTCTTAGTAATCTCGATCGCCTCAGCAATTAACCTTTGGCCTGTTGCTGGTAATCCCCTCCTAAGTATCTCGACATTGTCCCAATCAATCGCGTGTCCTGCCTCTAGCGCATGTACGGCCACCGCTGAATCTTTTAGTAGGGCCCTGTATTCAGGCTCATTTCTCGGTGGACGCGAAACGTACCTCTTGTGTTCTGCTATCCTCGTGCGTAGCTCTCTCGCTGTTTGACCTATGTACACGTGTTCACAGTCTTTGCAATTGATTTTATAAACACAATTTGTCGTCCTGTCTCTTGGAAGTGGATCCTTCAAACGCACAAGTGCTGAATAGAGCGTTTGGCCCTTTCGAAAAACCACTCTTATTTTCTCCTTGTTTAGTACTCGTCTGATTGCTTCTGAGGTTCCCTTTTTATAGGGGATTCCCACTGTCCCAATCCACTCCGTTGTGCGTCGCGGAGGTGGATTTAGAGCTCTCTGCAATTGGCGTTTCACTAACCGCCTCGGATATCCACTGTCTACTAATTTGCTCACCGTCTCCTTACGAGCGGCCTTCCTGTCCTCCTCCTCTGTACACAGAGTCTGGGCTCTGTGAAACAGAGAGGATGCGATAGCGGCATAGACTTGTTTTGGATAACCCGAACTGTAATGAAGCACTCCGTCCGTATCTGTCGGCTTGCGATATATCGTCGTCTTTAGCCGTCCACCGATCCTGTGAACTAGGCAATCGAGGAATGGCAGTGTGCCACTGCAAGATTCTAGTTCCATAGTAAAGTTTATATTTCCATTAATGGAGTTCAGATGATCTAGAAACGCCTCCTTCATATCTCGCTTCATAATCACAAACGTATCATCCACGTAGCGCCACCAAATCTTTGGCGAACTACTGGAGTTTGTCAGCGCCCTTCTCTCAAAGTCTTCCATATACAGATTTGCCAATACGGGGGATATTGGTGACCCCATGGCAAGTCCCTGTTCCTGAGAGTACAGTCTCGAATTGAAAGTGAAATACGACATATTAAGGCATACTTTAATTCCATCGATTATCTGATCTACCGTGAGTTTCGTTCGCTGCTCCAGGCTATTGTCCTCAGTAAGACAACGCTGTGCTATACCCAATGCGTCATCCTTGGGCACGTTAGTGAATAGGGAACTAACGTCGAAACTAACCATTATTTCGTCTGGCGCGATGTCCAGACCTGCTACCTTTCGCGCGAACTCATAAGAGTTCCGTACGAAGCTATTTGTTCTCCCTGTTAGAGGTTGCAACAAACCTGCCAAATATCGGGCTAGTTCGTGCGTTGGAGAACCGATACCATCTACAATGGGCCGAACAGGAACTTCCGGCTTATGTATTTTTGGTAGCCCATAGATCCTAGGTGGAATCGTTGATTTCGGATATACGCTATACCATTTACCCGGCCCTAGGTTGTCCTTCACATTTCTCAGGTAGTTTCCTACCTCAGTTTTGCACTTATTCATTATGGAAGATAAGGATTTTTATCGATTGCTTCGTAGGGCCCCGCTGCTAAATGCTGTTCCATTTTTTCCACATAATTCGATTTGTTCATTATCACTACGGTCTTGCCTTTATCGGCTTTCGTGATGATGACGGTGGGGTCTTCTCTTAAGGCCTTTAATGCGGTACGCTCCGCTGGTGTAAGATTTGGCTTCCCAGGCTTCTGAAATCTGATGATGTCTACCATCTGTGCACGAATATTCTCAGCTGTTGATACTGGTAGTTTCGTCATCACGGACTCAACGCTAGTAATAATTTCCTCTGCAGTTAGTTTAGACTTATTTACAGAAAAGTTCAAACCCATTTTTAGTAATATACGTTCCGTCTCACTCAGCAACCTATCTGACATATTAACTACATTGTAATAGTTACTGCTAGATTCAGACCTATCTACGAGACTAGTGGTCCTGCTATGCATAGACATCAAATGATTGAACTTACGAACTTGTCTTTCTTTCGCAGCTAGCCCTTGCGTTGATTTCACTTCTGAGGCCTTGTTGTAAAGTCTATCATAGTCCGTCTGCGTTATAGCAATCTGCAGCACTTGATCTATAATTGATTTCATGTAACGATTTTTTCGCATTCCTTTTTTCGCTTGTGTTGTGGTTTACGAGTATGTACGAAATGATGTTGTCATCCTACAATCTTTGTCTTCTGATATTCTTATTTGGAATTATAAAAGAAATTCGTGTTTCAAATTTAGAATGAAAATTTGAGCAGATAACATTTTCCATTTTCGGAGGTGGACGTGAAGATATATGCAGTTGGTACACACGCTCGACCGGTATATCGCAAGCGTAATTAGACTGAACGGCATCTCAGCTTTGGTAGTTTCTGTTCCATTAACTACAAAAGGACAGTCGTCCGCACTATTTTTGGAAGGGCTCGTAATATCTTCTCCGAAGAAACGATTAACAATGAGTTGCAATGCGTCTCAATAGTACTACGAGAAATCGAGTACCAAGCAGATTTCAGCTCGCACCACTCTAATGCGAAAACCCTTAAGAAAGGTATGGCGGACGTCCCTAATAAGGTATTCATTAAGCTGCCATTCAAAGAGGACCAAAGAGACAGCCGATTCCGATACAGTCGCTGCCACCCCATTAAAAACAACATTATGAGACCAAGCTAGTGCGATTCCACAAAGTTCACAATTTTTTTACAAAGCCGACCTGGACTGACTAGACTCTAAATTTACCAACTATTGTAGCTACTTTCTTCATTGTATTTTGGTAGCAAGTACCTGGGCCGAAATGACAGGATGCTGTCCATAAGGTGTTCAGAACTTTTCTCACCTAGCCTTGTGGTTAACGGCCGCTAGCCCCATCGCTAGCTCCATCGCTCAGCATATTCTTGATTGCCAAAAGTGCCAACACCTAGTAGAATTGTTCAAAATCATTAACCGATGTAGACAATTGCAAGACTCGAGGTGTGCAAAACTAACTTAGCAGAAAGAAACGAAGTCACTGACTAAAAGTTTGGGTACAGTTTGTCCGTCTTGTCTTCGAAGCTGCAGTCCATATGCCCGACTTTTTTGGCTCGAGACGTTACAGACGATGGCTGGCAGTCGGCAACAATGGCGTGTTTGCCGTCGTCTCGGAATCGAACTAACTGTTTTAATTATATTTGCTGCTGAGTTACTTGTGAAGTAATGGCTGCTTATGATGCGGGGCAGTGAAAGCCGCAAAAAAGCTCTCTCGCCGATGTCGCCTTAACTTTGTTTGCAGTAGAATCAGCTGTTTGTGACCATGGGTTGTTGGCAAGGTGTATGAGCCTTGATCTGGAATGTCTGCTTAGGACGTTAAAGTATTACTCTAGGTCCCTCTTCTCTTCCTGTTAGTATTCCTCGTTCCTTAGGTCAGTGTAGCTGTACGGAAGCAAAACATCAATGTAAGTGGCTGATGTACTGATGTTGATGATGATAATACTGTTTTCAGTGTTTATTCCTCGTAGCTTGTTTGGTAACTCTATTACTGTGTTTTCTTTCCACAGGGTTGCTACAGAAACCATCATATTTTGGATGCGGTCAGTAGTTCTTCAGACAGTGTCGCCCGTTTAGCTCAGATTCATCGCGATTTGTTCCTGTCATGGGCACCAAAAAGAACATTTAATCCTAAAAAGTAAGTATTTCTCAGGAAGTAACCCGGCGAACGCTTTGCTGGGGACGATTGAAAGAGTTTTTCTAGTGAACAGCAAGCGCTACGATAACGCTCGTTTATGTGAGGGTGAACAGCATCAGTGAATTCCGTGAGATGGACCACTGTACCACACCAGAACAGACGCTCAGAACAAGCAAAAAACTGCATCCAGATCTAGTTTGTCGACATGAACCACTGAAGCTTACTAGATGAATTTGACCGGCTCCCCTTAAATAGGTAAACGGGTGACAGCTTCGATGGGGAGGTAACAAGCGGCTGATGATACAGGAATTAAGTATGGTTGCGAAAGGCCAAGTAAGCTTCAAAATACGGGTATAAACTGAACGTACAGGATTAAGATTAGTCTAATTGTGCGAACAGTTGTTGGTTTTACAGGTTTACCATTAATCCGCCAGGCAATTGGTAGCTGCGTTTCAAATAGCTTGAGTAGTGAAGCAACAGTCTGAATAAGAAAGATATCAGCAATACGCCTGCACTGCGTATCGGCGCTCCGCTTCCGTGCGACCACCACCAGTTGCACACCGACTAGGCATACTGTGAGAGTCACCTGGTTTCTGCACAAGCGCGAAGGCATGCTCTCAGCTAAGCCTATGGACCGACAATCGCCGTAATACATCAGAAGTCTTGCAATTTACATCCGGAAGAGACTCCATATCATTGAGCTTGTTTAAGCTGGAGATAAGTGGGAGTACCTCTGAGGCTGTCACAAATGTCACATGCTGAAATGCCTGGGGTTCTCTATTAAGCGCTTATTCATCTGACCCAGTTTTGTGAGTGTTGGTAACCAATTTAATATGTGTTTCCATTCAAATTAGCCTAGTCCTCGTTACTGTTTTGCCTGTTGACCAGAACTGCACAATACCTCAGCGATTGTTTAGCACAATCGATTAGAAGAAGTAAAGTATTCGTAAAAATGAACTAGATAAACAAATGTAAAACAAAAATGCTGCGATACGCCATTTAAAATTATACGTAAGTAGCGAGCTTTTAGTATATAGGTGGCTAAGCTAGAGGGCATGAGACTAATAAACCCACAGCACAAACGCCATTCAGGTCGGATATTTACCATATCAAGTAATGTCTGTAGCCAAACTTATTCACCGTCCTTGGGACACTAGCCCGCAGTCAGAAGACACCGATTGATGCCAAGTTCGAAGCAGGAGGCTTCATTCCTTTTAACTGAGTTATCGATTTGTCAGTTTTCGTCTTCTTCCATCCACACACCAGTTGCGCAGACAACGCAGGTCGCGAGAGTCGGTGTGCTGGCATGCGCACAACGTGGCCGAGCCATTGGAGCCTGATGCGTGAAATAACGATTTTGAACGGTTCACTTCCTCTTCCTGTGCCATAAACAAAACGCCGAAGACGCCCATTGCTAACGCGGTGTTTCCACCAGATATGTGCCAAGCGTCGAAGGCACCGGGGTAGTCCGATGACTCACTGCTAGGTTCCCACACCTTTTAAAGGACTTTAGGCCACATCAGGAGCCCGACATTCCCTACTTCGGAAGCGTAATCAAATGCTCGAGCAGGGAGCTTGCTTAAAATGCCTCCAAGGAAGGCAAGAGCAATGCTGTCACTTAGTGGCAATATGCATCTGCCAAGTCGTTATTTTGCTCGAATTAATTGTATTTTATAGGACGAAAGATTCCAGGAAAACTCACTAAGGCATCCATCACTACTACTGAATCATCCATGGTTGCACGTTAGTATAAACGCTAATTATCTGAGGCTCTTTCGCCGTTATTTTCTAAAGAAAGACGTCTCCTTTCGTTACTTGACTGATGCGCGAAAGTCGCAGACACTCGAGAGCAAGCGGTATGCAGAATAAACCGAATAGATGTTCATTTTAGCTCAAAAGTATTTCCAAATTAGGATCCGCGCACGCATAGCGTTGTTCTAGCACCAGTCGAGACGTAGAGTGAGGTTACCAGTGCTTCCTTCACGCGGCCTGGATCCAGGAAGAGCGTTAGGGCCAACGCACTATGAAACATGTGAGTATGCTGTCGCTGCTGGTTTAGCTTGAAGCTTATATGCGGTCAACATTCTGGCGACCGCTTCAGTCGTCGGTGAAAATGGGCAAAGATCACGGGACGCCAACCGGTGTTAGTTTCAAACTTCTTCTGCCTGTGGATATAGGAAGGACAGTTTAATAAACAAGGTTGTCCCACGCATGTAACCGCACTGTCGATGCCAAGCAGTTTGGTGGCGAAACGCATGCAACCATTCAAACAAGCACAACAAACCGATCCATACATAAACAACCAACCTCGGCCACCAGTGGTTTAAATTATTTTGAATAGCTTGTGCCCGGTTGACTTCCACAGAACTTCCTTTGCTCTCACTAAACAGAAGCGGTTGTCAGAGTCAATTTCCAAGGTTCATTTTCGTCTCTGCAAACAGTGTCATAGTGTTTTGACGAAGAACGTACAGGTTTTCTCAGGAACTGCAAATTACTGCATTGGGCCACCACCAGTTATTTCGGATTTTATCGGAGCGTTTGTTTAGTGTCTGCATAAACAGTAGCAGCGGAATAATCCTTCTGAAGTACCATCGGAGGTCGGAGCAGTTAAGTGAAAAGGTTTCGAGGCATTTTATCTTTACTTGCAGTCTCATGCGTGAACCTGTTGAGTTATCTGTTGTTCTCGTTATCATTTATTTTCATCTCACTGACACCACTTGCCCACTGATAATCGGGTCAACTACGTCCATCGCAATCAAATGCCACCACAGTTGTGTCTTGAATCATCATTCTGCACTCTGGACACTTTGTACTCACGTATGCGTAGTTCCACTCCATCTGTTCCATCTCGTGACACTGTAAAAAGACCGAGTATAAATAAATATGACAAAAGCAGTGGGAAGATAATTTGTGAACGAGACACTTATTCCCGGCGAGTGAGGCCGTGACACAATCAGTTACGCTAACACGTCCTTGCATAACTCTCCTGAGGTGGACGACATCAGACCGAAGGCAATGAAGACAGCCGCCGTGAACATCGCCTGAACAATTAGCTTGGTTCTTTGAACGATGCCTCGATGAAATACAAGTTGCAACAGTGTGGAAACATGAAATAGTCATTCCTAGGTACAAGTTTGGCAGTTGCGTGGAGCCCTCGAACTACCCGACTAACTCTCCTACAGTGATATTCAAAGGTATGAAGGGGGTTATCGCAGAGACTTTCATGGTGTATCTAGAGCAACACCAGTGTAACAGCAGCAAAGATTCCGCCGAAAATGGTTTGGCACAATAGCGGAGGTGTTCCCCACCTCTAGCTAACGTATATAATAAATGAATGCTTCGGCACTACCAATTTGCTTCTAGCCCGAACAGTCTGGACAGAGTCCGTTGATGACAGAGTAAGAGCCGAATTATGCCCATTGATTTCTCAAAAGCGTATGATCACTTAGACCAATGTATTATCCTACACAACTCCGGAATATGCGAAGTTGGTGACGCCGTTTTCGGTCCGATAAACAACTAATTCATTCAACTTCATTTAAATGTGAGATACTACAGCTTCATTTTCCACCTATTTGTAGTGCGGCGTACCCCATGGATCGATACTGTGACCACAGTTATTTCTAACATTTACAGACAATCTTGCTAGCCTACTCTAGTTGTGGTTCCTGATATTTTCAGAGGATGTCAAGATCTGGCATGAAGTCAAGACACTGGACGATCACCCAGCATTGCAGAGTGATATCGACAGGGCCTACTCTTGACCATCCGAAAACTAGCTTCAGTTCGAAGTGGCATACACTATTAGCTTATCCGTGTATCCGGACTTGGGGACCACCAGTTGCAATATGCTTCGCAGAAAAGCGATCTTGGCGTACTTGTGAAGGATGAGCTTGGCTGCTCGAGACAGACCAAAAGGCATCGAGAAGAGGTAGTCAAAAGCTTGGACTCATGAGTAGGGTTTTTAGAAATTTCAAGCCATCCATCTTCCCGTAAATTCTGAACGCCTACCTGTAGTCCCATGTAGAACACGCGATTTAAGCCTGGCGTCCTTAGCGCAAACATCATCTTTATGCGTTTGAAGCTTCGCAGCGTAGACAGACGAAATTCGTTATGGGATTATGGAAACATTATGGTGTTGCTCATCCCAACGCTGGCACCCCACGACCGCGGTTTCGTCCTGGTTTGGACTCATCAGGTGGAGATAGCCTTAGCTGGGCTGGAACTCAGAGCCTAGTGGCTCATGGTTGACGCCATAAACACTATGCCACTGAAATCCGCGAGCAATGCTTGGTACAGCGGAAACGGATTCAAAGTTGGACTTGAAGTATCCGCTATGTGGTTGGGTTGCTACAAGCAACCTCGGTTGAGACCTCGGTCATTCCGACCACACGGATCGTAGGTAAAATGAAAACATTATGGTGTTGATCATCCCAACACTGGTATGGGATTATTTTACCTGACCTGCCAACGCAGACTACCAGCGGTGAATCACGGCCTCCTTGTGGCTTACCTAATATTGATGAACCCGGATCACACTGTCACTACCTGTTGCAACGTAGCCACAGTACTAACCTGAGATGTCACCAGCTCAAATTTGCCACTCACGACAGTGAGCCTCCTTGCCGACGGCCGTTTTCCTCGTTTCGGTTATTCCGATCATTAAGCGCTCTTACAACTCACGTCATTTGTACTTCTACAATAACGATTTTTAAAGAACGCCTTGACGGCACGCAATCTTATCTCGGAGGAGGAAATAACTCAAATCACTATTATATGTGCGCCAACCCTCCCAGCAACGTAGCGGTGCTGAAACTTGCGTCATCTGGATAGCCTCGTGAGTCATTTTACATCTGCGTTTTTCGTTTTACTTGTAAGATTTTCCTTTTGTTTTTATACTTCTCGCTCTGGTCGTCCTATGGGACTTGTCAAGCAACCGCTTTTTTTACCCTTTATAAAGCAGTTTTCATTATGTAGTTCAGTAGTGTGTGGGTCGAACTTTGATTAAAAGTGTGACATTGCACTTTACAACACAGTCTTGCCCTACCCTGCAATTATGTTTAAGTGGCCCACTGTTGCATTTTCAGAAGTCGAGTGCATCATATCGTTAAATGGGGCATTGCTGTTTTATTTGCTTGTTTTTCCTACCCTTTCGTCAACCGGGACGTTGGAGAACCTTCTAAATAAATTGTTGACACGTTACATCAGACGAGGATTGCAACTGCAGTTCACACTTAGTCACGAAACGAATTTCACATTGCATCCTCCTATCTTGGATAATGCTGGATTTATTGTTCGTTTTTGCTCAGTTCCCCAGGTTTGGCGTCCGTCGGTGGCTTCAAACTCCAGTCACCAGATACTTTTGTAATCCAATCGCAGCTACCGTTGTGCGCATCGGCCCCGGCTTTTACACTGCTGGACTGCATGGATCGGTCAAGCAATATTCAACAGGAGGTAGTTCTAAATGGTTTAGCTGGAATATTCATCCTCTCTTTTTCTACGTGGTATATCTGAAGATCCAGGCCGCTGTGGTTGGTATTGGCTGATCCGCCTAGTGGGTAAAGAACTCGTTTGAATACCTGTAGACAGGTGAAACACCGGTTTTTAATTAGCCGCTTATTTACGTACCGACATCAGAAGATGGAACGAAGGTTTTATAAGGGTAACAAGAATAACGCATAGCAGGTCCCTTAAGATAGTTAAGTGGAAACTTCAAAATAAAAATATTGCTAACTATATTGGGTTTACCTCGGTTAACTCACTGAAGTATACGTATTCTTAGCTATAAAACCCAGGTAAGTCAGTGAGGAATGACGTCGAACGGGGATGTTGGTAAGAATAGTGTCGCCTTCTGGTATACACAAGCAGGAGGTGAAAAACATGCAACGAAATCTGGGATTCGACCGCCAATGAAATTTCTTACAGACACTTGTGTTTATCCATCGATAATGGGTCATGCAAGATGGTGCAGCGAAATAAGTGCACTATCAACTCGGGCTTTGAACTCTGTCAGCTTGGGAGCACTTATGACAGATTCCGGTAGGGCATTCCACGTGCAGCAAACGCATACGGAAAAGAAACTCCAACGGCATTCCAAGCGACTGCGCTGCTTTGCCAGTTTTAGATAGTGGCCCCTCAAATAGCTGTTGTGACTGAGCTCTAGCAAATAGCGGCGCGTATGGTTGGGATCTCTCCAAATCTGGTAAGTCAAAATGACGCCCCCGCACAGTCGCCGATACTGTCCGGTGAAGACCCCGAGCAATTTTAGCCTTCTTTCGTATGGCAATTTATACAGACCCTTGCCATTCTTGGTCGCACGGCGTTGGGGGTCTCTCCAAGGCGTTGAGATCTCTCTTCAGTCATGGCTGCCAGACCTGTATTGCGTGTTCCACATGTGGCCATATATATGAGCCGAGGTGTTGAAGAAGTCGTACGGTCGCGTCGTCCAAATGCACGCTTCAGGAGTCCCAAAGGTTAGATGCCTTTTCTAGACACCGTTTCAGCCTGCTTCGAACATACAAGATTGACCTGCTCAGATTCTTCTCGCCGGAAGAGATTCAATGCTCCTGGTTGCCGAGTTTGTTGGAGTGCATCAGCTTGTGCCGTAGGTGCGGCGAGCTACGTATGTCCACATTGAATCAAAGTAGATTATAGATTGACCACGCGTATATCCTATCCAGATCAGCTTGAAGTACTGTGATATCATCTTGAGTATTGATCGCTCTCTACACCTTGATGTCATCGGCATAAAGCAGGCAGTTCGAGCTTATGAGGTGTGTGAGATTGTTAATGTACAAAACAATAATCGCTGTCCTAGTACCGATCCTTGTGGTACTCTGTATTCAACTCGGATGGGATCTGAAAGCGAATTACGCACACGTACTTCCAGGCGCCGATGAGGAGAAAGCTTCTGATCCATTCTAGGAGAGGATCACTAAGTATAACTGTCTGGAGTTTGAAGAGTTGAATATCGTGGTCTAACGGGTCAAATGCCTTTGAGAAGTCGAGAAAGACTGCCTCAACCCCTGTGCCGGAGACTACTGCTTCAGTCCAGCTGGATCGTGCTAGTAGTAGATTTGTAGTGCACGATCGATTTCGTCGGAAACCATGCTGTTCCGTTGCGAAGTAGTTAATTTATTCCAAGAAGGCGGTCAGCGCATCAGAAATAATAGATTCCATGACCTATGAAAGAATCTGTGGTAAGATTACGGGACGGTAGTTGACTGAATTGGAACGACTACCACTCCTGTGAATAGGAGTAATCATCCCGTGTTTCCACATGTCGGACAGGTACATTTCGTCAAAACAGTGTTGGAAGAAGCGACCCAAAGGCTCAGCTAAACTCTTTCCTACCGCCACTATCGGCCTCGTGTGGATATTATCAACTCCAGGAGAGCGGTGCTTGCGAATGCTCAACAGATTTTATAGTACAGCTTCTGTTGTGAAGGATATTTGTGTGAGCTTTGGGGATAAAACAACCATCGTCAAAGAGTTAGGTGGCCATGGATCTGTTAGTGGCTTAGTAGATTACTACGACTAGTTGGCGGCTTGAAAATATCAGAAGGTGTGCACTAACAAAAATGAAATATAGTATTGAGGCGTGTTCGTTATGTATCAGTACAGTAAAGATATAAAAAGGATAGGCCGGCCCTAAGAATACAATGTACGAGATAGAATTTAATAGTGTTACTCAAAAATAAGGTAATGAGAAAGTGGTGACTTATCTCACAGCACAAATCCTGTTCGTGGGGAAATCGCAGGTCGCGGCCAGTCCGGTCGTGTGATGATTGCCTTGTCGTCGTGGGCGTAGCGCTTTTCTTGACGGTTGTCAAAGCACCAGTCGGGACGGTCGTGTGACGTTCGTTGTAGTCGGTCGGGGGCATGTCGTTGTCGATGTACTATACGGTTTTATAATACTTCATTCAGGCGTTCAAACATGTGGGCCGTACGTAGTACGATGTGTGAATGTAGGTCGAGGGGAAGAGAAGTACACAATGTGAGAATGTGTTATCCGAGACAATCTCGATAAGATTGAAACAGTTTTGTTATGTTGACCTCGGTCGTGATGTAGGTCACGCGACTCAATTACACGATGTGAGGATGTGGTATCCAAGGCAATCTCGATAAAACTAGGTTTTATTAGGTTGACCTCGGATTTAAGTACACGTGCACGTGGTGATGAAATCTTCCGTTCCGAAGATAGTGTAACGGAATCAAAAGTGCATGTGCAATGCGACCTCACAGATCTCACGGAAATGTTGCAATATATTGTAGGCGCAGGGTGTTCGCCGCCTCCTTCGGTGTCTGTGTGGGTACGTCCGTCGTTTGGAAAGGAGGAATTTCCCATTTCACTTTAGGTAGACTGTTGACGTGTTGCTACAGAAGCTTATGGTTTGAGGCCATACGCACTGAAAACTTCTGCTGGTACGCCATTCTATCCTCGCGAACAAGCTGAGTACAGCGGTTACGTTGGTACGTATTTGCCATCCAGTTCTCGGTGCTCGAGTGCTGTTGACCCATGGGCTACAACAATCCTTGTTATTCTAACCTCTATATATTGACCATGGGAAGGATTACTGCGCGATGGTCACCGAACGACTCGTTTGTTCAAACGATAATGTGTACTTAGCGGGATTTTGCAGTGAGTGATTCGTATGCCCAACCCACAATCACTGCACGTTACAGCTGCTAGCCGATTGCCGATACGTCAAGTTCTGTCTGTGTATGCGCGTGTGAATTTTTTTCCGCACATCATTGTGTTTACGGATATTTGTGCTTTCCTCGTACAGTGCGTCCAAAACGATCCATGTCCATGGACCTCCCTTGCCCCTGTTTGTGTTAACCCTTTCCCCACCTGACTACACACACACACGCATCACGCCTACCCTTTGGAACCTGTGCTCTCTCATGGACAAGCGACAATCAGGAGTTTGAATGCCTACCCAACGTCGACGAAACAGTTCTAGACTAACCCGTTCAGTCCAATTTGCGATAAGAGGCGAACAAAGATTGACGTTTCGCAGACTTATTTAACCTTGAGGAATCCACACCACGATTAGATGTATTGTAATATTATATGCTTTAACTGTGTGTGTTATTATGCAGGAACCCATACAATATATTCAAAACCATCTGCAGATGCAGATAAAGTGAATACTGTACTACTCCTGACGGTAAGGTAAGGTACTCTAAGTTTAGCTAGAAGATCACCTCTCTAGGTTGATTCATTTGGTTCACTTTCTTGTGTGGTAAACCTAAGGAAAATTTACTGTAGTTCCTTCAACTGTCAGGGCCAAGGTAAGCTCTGTATACATGCCACGCTGCGCCTCTTATCGCTATGCCTTTTAAGGTTCCGCTCCCAATGAGTGATGGTGCTGTTGCAGAGAAAAATGCTCCAATTCCCTAGGCGAATGTTATCGGACCATTAAACTTGCCAACAAACTTTATCCAAGCACCATGAATGGAACCGTCGTCATCCAAAAACCCAGGTGGATTCTCCAACATTTTTGGTAGGAATATAGTAGTGATAGTACCAAAAAGGTCATTGTGCTCCTATAGAAACCCCTCATTAGACATATAGTCGTATGTTTTGATGATGTGTTTAACTCAGTCCTAAAGGATCCCCCATCGTTGGCTTAGCAATCATGAGCAGTAAATCGAGCACCGATGGCTTTTTTACCGGTAGGCATTTAATGAACGAACAAACGTGACGGATGAGCGGAATACTTGCAAGAAACTTTTGCATGTCCACTTTACACTGCTCACCTAAGGATGCTGCTACTTTTAGACAATGAACATTGAAGTCCTCTTATGTGAGAACATCGCTGTATCGTCGTCGCGGGACACGTTCCAAGGCTAATGTCAGAAAGAAATCCATCTCTGGGGTGGATGTTTGGACATGATTACTGACTGGCACAACGCAGTCGCCCTTGCGTACCAGCTCCAGATAGCGCCGGATTTAGTCTTTGTTCAATCTTTCCTGATCATCCGCGTGTTCGCACTAAAATGTAATGTGGTAATACTTTAGTACTTCACCTCCCTAGCTTGGGTGATCCCTTCGAACAGGAACATTGGCGACCCAATCCTGAGTTGGATTGGCAATTTTCTACAGGAACGACGGCTAGTGGTGAGAGTCCGAGAATCATTGTCTGATGCAATCGATGTAGTGTGTGTAGTACCACAAGGCTCGGTGCTTGGACCTCGTCTATTCTTGGTGTTCATTAACGATTTGGCAAGATCAATTACTTCCTATTTCCTATTTTCGCTGGTGATATCAAGATATGGGGAAGGATCAGAGGACCGAACGACCACAAACGGCTCCAGTGCGATCTTACCACAGTGTCGAACTGGTCATTTCAAAACGCCATACCATTCAACGTAGACAAATGTCGCGTTGTACAATTACGCCATGGACTTAAATACACCTATTTACTTGGGACAAACGGATTGCATAC